TTAAATAAAGAAACTTAACTGACATTTAGTGCTTGGATTGTTCAGTGCAACAGCGTAATGGTTAGCTTCATTGGAGAAAGTTTGAGTGCCTACCACAGAAAATCAATGATGTAAGAGCTCATTTGTATATAATTGCTTAGGGTGCTTATAGATTTTCTACATAACAGAAATATTTTATAATAGAGGTTGGTTATAGATTTGACCTCACAAAAATACTACTTTTTTCCTTTTTTTGTGGAAAGGCCGTTAATCTATTTTGCAACAAACTGCTTAACTTCTGAAACTATAAAATATCTAGAGGGCTTCCAACAGAAAGATGTAAAATAGTGTCGTTCATAAAAATAAGAAGTTCTGAATTTGTGCTCAGGTAACTTCAAACAGGTGAAAAATACATACTTGGATATTTTTTTTTCCATCTTTCCATTCTCCCTTGTTTTAACAAATTCCTGTGTATGTAAAGGCTCATCTAGTAACCTAGGTATTTAATCTTAATTTAATTTAATACGTTTCTACAGTGGGTATGTAGTTATACCAACTTGCAGTACTTTCATCAATAAATGCTGTAAGAGATACAATAGAGAATTCTCTAGGTACAACACACTGAAATTAATTACTCTAGGAATTTCTTCCTGTTCCAGTACAGTTTTTTCTCGGTACTAATTTCACCAGTAATACCTCCATAGTAGACACAATTTATGTATACTTCTGTAATACTTTGCTTCAGTTGTGGAAATAAATAGCCAGCAGAGGGAGCACAAATTAATTTATGGTTTGGGTTCCAAAGAAATACTAATAAATTGGCTAACACATTGGTGATGCTCATTGTGGCAAGTAAATAACAAAGGAGTAATGTGTTTGTATTCAGTGAGGAACCAGAAGTAAGGCAAAAAGTGTCTGGACATTTGAAACATAAATGTTTTTCAACTTCTGCAACTGACGTGTAAATAAACTCTGATGAATTGAAACCATAAAATCACTTGATTTACAAATGCCTCTGAAAAATAAGAATGATTTTTCACAAATTTCAAGTTCTTATAATTAATGATAGATGCCTCCCAAAATTTTTTGTTTTGTTGCAAGTATTACAGAAGCTTTATGCTCTTGTTGATAGTTGAATCAATACCCTTATTCATTTAGCCAGTAACATGGTACTTTTTCCTGTCTGGCTGAATTCATTCTATGGTATTGGGAAGAACAGGTCGGGAGCTGTGTTCATTTGGTCACTCATGAAGCGAGATTGGGCTTACTGCAGTGGCTCAAGAAAAGCAGCTGTAACATTCTTCTAACTTAGCTACCACAAAGCTCATTTGGTTTCATAAGACCTTTGAGAGGTTCTGCTCAAAAACATAATTTTGATCACGAGCTATAATTTGTATCTGTCAGAGTGCACAGGTCAGAACGGGATACTGGTCTACAAACAGAAGAGGCAACTCTATTTAAAGAATGAAAAATCACTTGTCAGGTCCAGAAATTGATGAGGATGCTTAAACAGGCAGTCACATTGAAGCAGATGAGCAGCACAATCTTTATGGCCAGAAAGAGGAAAAATCTGATGTTTAGTATCTTTTAAAAGGACTACCCAGTATCTCTCTTTGCTAGTTTTTATGAGATACTAAGCATTAAAAAGGATGGAAAAGAAGCCAAAGGATACAATAAGAAGAATGGTGTTTATTCTCACTCTGTCCATAAGTGTTTTGAGCTGATCTGCGAAGAGAAAGATATTAAACTGAGGAAGACCATGAGCAATTATCATAGATTTTTACTGGGGAAGAGGGAGGGAATAAAACAGGGATGAAGTAAGAGAAGCAGCCTTTTATGTGCAGTGTCACTTGTATCTGAGCCAAAACATTTATGAATCTCAGTTTTATGACACTTTCACAATAAAGGTGCAATCTAATTAAGTGATAACAGAAATTCAGATATCTCCATTCTTTTAGTAGGCTTGAACAGGAAGGGTTGGTCCCAGGAAGAGGACTGGCTGCACAATAGAGCTGAGTATTCAGGAGAGTGTATATTATGTGAAACAAAATGCATTCAAATGTGTGCTCATAGCCTTCGCCTTAGGAGACTGTATTGCCATTCTCACACAGAAAAAAAAATCTGTGCACTAGTGGTAATTGTGATTGCGTGATACATGGTAACAAAATGCACTATTTTTAGTGTGGAATGTGTTAATAGAAAGAAAACAAAGTAAGGAGCAATTTGCTGTAACATGGCCATCTGGGATGGTAACGGGGGCGGGGGGGGAAGCTCTTGCAGGAGTGGGCTGGGGTAGGACCTGCTGTGCAGTGGGAATCTCTTCAAGATTTTCCTTCCCCAGGTTTCAGGGCCACAGAGAGACTGACTGACATCCCAAGCACATATATCAGACCAGGTAGAGAGCTTTGTACCAGCCTGAGGGGGAAGAACAACGTTCAGGAAATGGAGCTGTTCCTTTATAGAATGATTTCAGAGAATTGTCTGGTCCACTTATTTGGTACACATGAAAAGAGGATCAGCTGGGCACCTGTAGGATATAATAGAGACTGAACAGTTTTGTGAAATAGCTGCTATTTTCTCTGTTTGATAGCTAATAACAAAAATATTGCACCTTTTTTTCCAGGAGATGTTTTCCTATCTTTCAAGTGAGCTGAAGAAGCTGGCAGATAACCACAATGAGAGACTGTTAGACACACCACATAATCCCATTTCTTTAGGTAATTGTTGTTTTTTATCTTTAAAAAAAATCTAATATACTGTGCATTCATAATGCACTTTCACATACACTTCCTATATATTGAACATTGTTCACTACACTCCATTAAATTTTTCTTAGGCTGGTATGAAGCCATTGAACCCAATAAGGTAACCTACTATAAAAGTAGTGAGTTGGGCCCTTTATTTTTTTACAAAATTGCCCCTGTCCAGCATACTCAGTTATTGTAATCAAGGCAGACAGAATATGTTAGCATGCAGTAATACTTTATAAATAAGGAGATGTCAAAAAGAAATTAGGGTATAATTATTTTACCCACCATCTTATAGTGCTCTAAAAGAGATTATGGAATTCCTACTCAGGATACTTGTTCTAACCAAAAACTCTGCTGAACACCAAAGTAATATTGCCTACCTGTGCAGAATCTACCTTACATACAGACTAACCAAAGAACTAATCTATGACAGCTCGTGGGAAAATTAAAAATTACAAAATATAGTATTCATATTTCTTTTTTTTCTTTGTATTCAAACAGAAATATTTGGCTAGATTTTTATTGTTGGAAAACAGCTTGTCCTCTGTGGTGGTTCTTTGTAGAAAAAGGAGCTTTGTGGTAGTTTTAACCTGACCTTTTGTTACTTTAGCCATGTCACTGAAGAATCTAAATGAAAATAATGATGCTGCTGTTACCCAACTTGGATCTATGCTTTTCACAAGACAAGTTTCTGGAGCAAGGTGAGGATGCTATGAATTTGAAAAATTTGGGGGGTTGTATTAGCATATATTTTATGAAATCCTGTAATATTGACTTTGTACCAATTGTCTCATGATTACAGATTACAGTCCAACAATAGTAAGTCAGAGAGTAATACACCCTTCTTCATCACTGTTATCTACTGTTAATGTCTACCTGCTTGTGTTAGCAATGAGGGCTGCCTTTGTTAGCTTTGGTAGGCTACATATAGAATCTATGCCCATTTAATTTAGTGTCATTATTCCCTAGTACCCCTCGGTTTCATTTAGTTTCCAGCTGTTGTCTGATCTTATAGTTAAGTTGTAAGCTACTTAGGGAAGATCTTTGTTTTGTTTATTGCAGCACAAATATGGTTGTGCTGGATGTCAGGGGAATAAGCTTTTAATACCCTACATAGCTTTTTGTCATATGGAAGAAAATCCTGCTTTCTGGAACTAATTTTGTTTAAAAAAAATTATATATGTTTTAAAATCTACAACCTGAGCCACTCCGAGCTGAATTTATTCTTAGAGACACGTAAAAATGCAAGCCAAATAAATTTTAATTATTTTCGTTTAAGCCTTTTGGAAGAAGAGAATGATGTAAAATTTGTTTTGGCAGGATTCCTTAATCTGAATATTACTGCTGCCATGCTAACTTCTGCCATAGACTTAATGTAATTTTTTTGTAGCAGAGCTGAATGTTTCCACATCAGAAGGTATGCTTCATTAGCTTGGATTATTCCAATTCTTGCACAGATGAATGACAGTAAATCTATATGTACTGTAGTTAGATGCTCTTTTTAATTTGCCTGTCCTAACCTTGGCTTGTCCTGCAATTTCAGCCATCTTTGGCTGAAATGATTCAAAAGGTTCGATTTTTGAAGTTAAAAGTCTCCAATTCTTTGCCTGGTATAAAGGTTTCTGGTTTTTCTGGTTTTTATGTAGTTCTTTTGTAATATTTGTTTGACCTGGCATTTCAACAGATTTTAACTGTTATGCTTGTGCTAAATGCCAGTGGTAGGAGTAGCAGCTCCCTACTTCACTAGCATACAGGCTTTTGCATAACCTGTGGTCAGAGCACTTGGATGGAGAAGGATCTGCTAATCCTAGTGGTATTTGTCTGAATGCAGTTTCTTTTATGAACTGCAGGGAATGTCTCTATAGAGGTAGTAAATTCTTTATCAATTGATCAGCGCTAACTGCTTGTGTAGGCTTTAACTATAGCCACAAGGCAAGTTGTTCCTTTAACAAGTAAGGATGTGGATTACGGACTTGATTTATCAGGGAATGGATATGTACTGAAAGTGCTGGGAAACAGGGTGTAATAGGTAGAGGTTCTTAGTATGACGAAGAGGTAGAAGCAGTGGCAAAAAGTATCCATTGCAAGGAGGGAATGAATATGAGGTTAACATCATAGGATGGGGGAAAAGGGAGATGCGGTAGAGAGGAATGGATGGGAGGAAGTTGGGATCCTGAGCTCTCTGAATCACTTGAACCCAGACATTTGGACAGCAGTACACAATGCCGAGCAGATGTCTGCACTGGGGCTGCTGTCCATATGGTGACCCGGGGAGCCTGGGGTGAGGGGGTGAACAGACCCAGGTCAGACACAGAGTGGGTTGGATAGCTAAGGCTTGTTATGAAATAGGAAAGTTTGCTGCAGATGTCTTTTTCACCCCCCACACTGGGGAACTCATAAATATCAGTAATGAAGACCTTCATAATTTAACTGAGGAGGGGAAGGGACATACGCATATGCACACAGACTTGAGCTAATGCAGGATCTACTACTACTGTCACTCATAGTGATGCACTAACTTGGAGAATGCCTGATCTAAGCCTGCTCACATTGATTTGTTTAGTTAGCAGATATTACACTGTACAGGAACTTGTGTAAGTGTGTTCATCATAGGATATCACGTAAAATGTCCAAGGCATCTTCAACTGAATCACAATTTTGTTTGTTTGTTTCAGGGTTGTTCCCTGTGGGACTGTACAAACAGTGAATAACTACACTTTTAAAGGTTTTATGTCACATGCAAATGACTATCCCTGTGCTTACCTCAATGCTGCCTCAGCAATTGGAATTAAAAAGCAAGATGTAGATGTATTCCTAAAAAGACTCGACAAGTGTTTGAAGACTTCTAGAAAAGAAGCAAAGCAAGAAAAAAGTGTAAATGAAATAAATAATTCTAATACAGGCGCAGAACAACTTGAAGACTAGAAGATAAAGGTTTAGTAACACAGGAAGATACGCTTTTGTTTAAAGTATGTCAGGTTTGTATTGGGTTAGCATTGTGAATCTGCAATGGAGAAAATTTATTCCTCATCTGAAAGCAACAACAACAAACCCCCCCCCCCACCTTGGGTGAAATTCAGTTTTAAAGAAAGTTGGTAATGTTCTCTCCAAGACAGAGGCCAGACATAAGTTTTGTGTAGCACAAATATGCACTTCATCTCTGCCAAAGTTAAAGCTTTACATTCATGAAGAACTTGAGCTGGCCTTTCAGTCTGTGGGTGACTATGTGGACTGGTGTTCAGCAAGTCACAGAATGCTTATTCACATATTCTTGATTAACAAGATTTTCTGTGGCACTGATTGAATTCCTTCCTAGGTATAGACCATCCAGCAAGAAATGTTTCACTGCTCTCAAAATATCTCATTTCTCATCAGCTACTTTTAGTTTCTTTTTGAAGATTTATATAAGTTTTGGGATAGCCCTTACTAAATACAATGTTAAAAATGCCTGAGAAACAGTAGAGTTGCAATAGTAGTGGTTTTGGGTGTTCTCATCTCTCAAGAACTGCCTAGGACAAAGCAGCCCTCAGTGGCAAAATAAAACCTAGAATACCTCATATCCTGTCAGTACTTGGCTCTTGGAAACATTTGTATAGTTCAGCAACCCAAAGGAATTTTAATAATGAAAGCAAGGGGTTGTGGAGAGGTACAGTCTTTTTTTTTTTTTTTTTCTTTTTTCCATTTCGTCTTTTCTTCGGTAGGGTGATCAGGCCAGAGACCCACTGAAAAGGAGGAATGCCTTGTTGGATTAATGCAGCAGTTTCAAGAGCCAGTGAGACCTTGAGAGTATTTTGGCATTTTTAGTCCATTGTTGTTAAAATTTATAGACTTCCATTTCTGAAGTGTCTCTTGCCATTGGCACTGTTGCTTCTGTGGCTGTGTGCAGTTGCTGATTTGAATTCATTAAGCAAACAATAGATTCAGAGTCTGTTCCTGAAACAAAGGTTCCATATCGCCGGAGTGACAGTGCTGTAGGTTGCAGAACTTTTAGTTAATTATTCTTAAATGCAATTACAACTACATTGTATGTAGTTTTTATGACATTTACTGTTCAAAGTGAGCTTCATGTTCAAAGGCATTTTCTTTGTCTGTAATGTAGCCATACTTGGGACACCACAGTTAGAGTTCTAAATGTCAGGAAATATTCTAGCTACTTTGTTTGGTGGGATCTGAGATATGTATCCTTCAGAGCCCCCTGCAAATTGCTTAATCAAAATAGTGGTGCTTTTGAAAGGATTGTCTATCCAGCGTGTTCAAATGAATTGATACAAGAGGTGATGTTAATACGTACAAGTTAATAGTATGCTAATCATCATGAAGGTGCTCTCACTTAGTGAGGTCTATTGTATCTTAAGCTTAAATTGGACTGCTGCTTCTCAGTTGTTATTGCTACAGTTAGAAGTTAGATTGATTAAAGGTTGGGAAGGTATGGCTCTCTGGACTACAGTCACAGTTGTTACTTGCTGTACAAACACACCTTAGGAGAAATGTAATATGACTTTACCACTGAGTCCTTGTGGCTATAAGGAGAAGTAAATTTTTCTTCTCTTGCTCTTTTTTTTTTTACCTTTTTTTTTTTTTTTTTTGGTTTCGTGACGTCCCCTCTGTTTTTCCTTTCTTTTTTTTCCTTTTTTTTTTTTTTTATTGAGAGCATGCTGTACCTCAGTTTTTCCAGTCAGTAAAGCTCTTCCACAAGCTTGGGAGCCAAAACAGCAGCTCACTGCCTCAGTATTCAGTATACTGGAGCAGCCAGTGAAAACCACAAGGCCTTAGTGATACCTTCTTGATTTTCAATACTGCTGTTCTGTGTCTGAATGAGTATCAATTATTAATTTAGGGAACTAGTCACATAACACGAACATTAGAACTATTGTTACAAGAGTTTAGGGAGGTGTATGGTAGCAGCTAAAATAAGCATTTGATGAATAAATAATACCCTGAAAGTGAATAAAGAAAACAACAGTTGCCTTCTCTGAGAGGAAGAAACCTCTACCTTTTATGTTCTGATAATAAATTGTCTGCTGCAAATAATTAATTCACTTCTACTATAGATTGTACTGCTTTCTCAGGTAGTGTTTTTCCTGTCTTCAAAATGTTTCCCATTTGAAATCAAAGCTGAAAATTTCAACAAATAGCTATAAACAAGTATCCAGGGAAAGAATTAAGTGGTTTATTCTGATTTTGACCTTTTAAACCTATTTTTATTTATAAAAAACCCCAAACCCCAAGATGATGGTTTTAAGTAAAAAA